ATATAGTGTAGTCTTGTATATATAAGACCGACCACGAACCAACGGGGAGGTAATGAGTAATTGAATGTATGCAGACATAGTATTGTTGGCCACGTGAGACGTGAGTTATAGCGTTGTTATAGAACGACTGTTGAAATTAAGTGTATCGTAAAGTTGTATTCGGAAAGAATAAACCAGTTTTATTTAAGAAAGGACTTGTGTCGCTAAAGTTTCGTCGGAACGAATTTACGGAAAATTAATGAACGAACGGAGACGTAACAATTTATATATAAGTCAACAAATAAACAAATTTTTATTCACAATAAGGTTTATGTATTAACCAAACTACCCGACTTATAACTTTCCATTGCCTGATGGAGCTAGAAAAATTATTATTTTCAAAATACGTCTGCACAAGGAAGGAGAGAAATAATTTCGTTATACAACACTTTCAAATCGGAAAAGGGTTCAAGGGTGGTATCCTATTATTACGTCTCCGTTCAATAGTTAATTTTCCGTAAAAATTCTTCCCGAAGAATTTTACCGATACAAGTCCTTTCTTAAATAAAACTGGTTTATTCTTTCTGAATATAACTTTGCGATACACTTAATTTCAACAGTCGCGCTATAACAAACGCTTTATAATTCTCAACGAACGTCTCACGTGCTCGACTCAACAATACTCAGTTCAATTACACACATTGTTCCGTCACGTTGTGACCGTCTTATATATACAAGAATAACACATATATAGTAAACGCTAGAGCAGTCATGAAGGAACAGGATATTTCTAGAAGTCAATGACGTGTTATTAGAGTCACGTGACCCCGATGTCGTAACACTATAATCAAAAGCTATGTACGTTACCAACTGTTCCACATAGAATATACAGGAGAAAACCCTGGTCTCATATCAATTAGTACAAATATCTGTGTCACTTCTTGATAAAAGCTCACCCCTCCCAAGGAGCTAACACAAACAAAGTGAGACAAGCTTCGTGCCATTGCAGTAAGAATATGTATGAATTTTCCTATAGCAAAGTCATACTGGGCTATCTGTTGTGTCCACCAAGAGGAATTGGACCCTTGATTTTAGCATTGTAAATCCAAAGACGTACTGCTGTCCCACCGGGGGAATTCAGTAAGAATTATTATATGTTTACGACCTTGGGACATCCAATTAATTTAATGAGAGTGTCCAAACTACATGAAGATTACCTGCACAGAAATTTAGAAAAGTTACCTGAATATATCTGAGTAAATATATTGTTACGTCTCCGTTCGTTAATTGATTTTCCGTAACTTCGTTCCCACAAAACTTTAGCGACACAAGTCCTTTCTTAATAAAACTGGTTTATTCTTTCCGAATATAACTTTATCGATACACTTATTTTCAACAGTCGCTCTATAACAAACGCTATAGCAACGAACTTCAACAATACTTTCTGACTGCAGTTCAATTACTCACTACCTACACACACATTGTCCTTCGCGTTGTGAGCGTCTTATATATATACCAGACTAACATATATCTAGTAAATGCTAGGGCATTCACGAAGGAACCAGATAGTTCTAGAAACATGGCGTGACACTAGTCACGTGACCTCGCTGACGCAACAATATATTCTAAACTAATTGTAAAATGGTGAAATAGGTGACAATTTCAGCAACAACACCTTCAGAATAACGATTATCTCCATTAGATGCCGACACTGGGTATGTGGATAATGCAATTTTGTAATATTTTATTTGTGTGGCCGAGTTTGGAATTACAATGGAAAATTTCTAAAACTGTCTTCAATATTGACCTCAAAATTCTTGCTCCAATCAATATTAAACTAAACGATTGTTTAAAAAATGCTTAATTTTAAAGTGATCCAAAGTTTTTGTAAGCTATCTTATCTTTTCGTTTTTTTTCATGAATTATATTCTCAAACTACTTAATTTTGTTAGTCGGGTTTTTATGTATGTATGGGCAGGATTCTTTACAGTAGGTGTCTGTGACTTTTTGGTGATTAATTTCAACAATAAACAGCACACATTCCACTTGTTTTAAAATAATATATTAAAACAAGTCAAATGTATATGCAAATGTTCTTTATACTGTTGATTATCACAGTTGTATCCAGAGCTTTAAATAATCGTCTTTTTTCGTCAAAACTCACATAGGTTGATTCAGCTACTTTAGAAAACAATTGACAAACAAATTATTCCTCTCTACTCTGTTATTACAATACAATCTGTGATAATTTCACTTTAAAAATCGCCATTATGCGCTCTTTATGGTTACATTCACAATCACGCAGTCTAGGTCTAACTATTCTATCTAACTAACTAACTTTTTGGACGAGTATTTATTTCCTGACAGAGGCCTAGAACGTTCCCCACACTATGGGATATTATTGTCCAATAATATACAATTGAAAAACGAGAAAAATTAGAAGGTTCTGGTAATATGACAATAATACAACAATCGCCAATCCACAACAATTGAACTACACAATGTATGACTTGAAAACATTTAGGTCAACAACCCTGCGATAAATCGCTTCTATGAATAAGTAAATTTAACACTTGCACTGTACTTAAATTCAAACAATCGTGTATCTCTAACGTTGTTATTGTTAACTTTAACTGAAAGTATCGTTGTTGTTATTTTATACATTGTATAAGCATTTCGACACTAGGAATCCAAACAGAAACCAACTTAAAGAAGTAATTTTAATTTATTCAAATGCGTTATTGTGGTTAACGTGTTGGGATGTAAATTGAAGGATTCGGGGCTCGAAGCATGATGTCGTAGAACATTCTCCGTAATTTCAGCTGTAGATGTATTACAAAAGTAATAGTCAGTCCAGTTATTTGGATTAAAGAGCCGAATAAGACTCTTGTAACAGTGGGTGCTTCTGGCTGGCTGTCTTCCTTCTAACCATTAGTTTGAAATTAGACAGTTATATCTAAATTTCAGTGATCTGTGATCTGACCGTTTAGCCCACATGCACCCAAAGAGTTATGTGGGGTTGAAAGATCCAATTCTAAGTTTTTATATTATATATATCTTAAAGATTTCATTCTAAATTAAGTATTCTAATTCTTGTACGGTTGCCACCAGATAAATGTTTTGTTGATTTTTTTCAAAGGAGATTCATTGGCAAAAAGTATTCGTCTGTGCCGCAGTTATGAACTGTTTTTAAAACACATGAGTTTATCTAATCGGGTGTTCATCACCTGAAACTTTTGGACGATGGTCAGATTAGAAAATATATTTTACTTGAGAAGGATGCAATTGTATATTGTGAAATGTATTTCCATGTCTCGATGGTATTTTAAAGATTTTCATATTGTTAATTTTTGCAAGATAATTCTGTGCATATATATAGAGAAAGAGAGAGTCTATATGCTAAGTAAAGTTATTGCTGTGTTTAACCCATTTATGTAAAACCTGAATGATGCATTGGATGATTTGAATTTAGACAGAATTTTGTGTTAGCTTAAAAAGTAGAGCCAAATATACGCTTCAGAAAATAATAATAATAACAACAAGCAAGCTTGTTGAAATAATTGCAACTGTACTAAACCAACAGAGGGCATTAAGGTAGACCTCCTAGTTGGAATGGATCGAGGTGAGTTAGCTTGCATAGATTGTAGCAGATAATTTTAGAATCTGTATTCGTATTTTAAAATGAAACATAAGATCAGTTGTTTCCATTGTAAACGTTAAATTACATTTATTTATTTGGTTTATGCGGTTTTCCGTTTTAAGTGTTTAGTTATTGCCATATCAATAGACTTACCGGTTTTCGATTTGGGAAAGGTTTTGAGAGTTTACTGGTGTCGGAATCTTGTTCACGTGGCTAGCGTGGCATGATTTGATTCGTCAGAAAAGCTGCTTCTCCGCTTAGTAACTGGAAGTCTGTGGAGACGTGTGTATTTGAAGATGGTAGTATTAATGCAACATATTCATCAATTTTCATCTTCTATTTCGTGTTTTTGTCGTAGTACAAATATATATGAACATAATGGCGTAAGTATAAAGAAGCAGTTTTGATTGGTTTTGTATATGCGTACTGTTTTAAGTTTGTACTTTTAGATTAACAGAAAATGATTGCCGTGAACATGTGCTATTAGTTTTAAACAAAGACTATCCTAGAACTTTTAGTTTTATGACAAAGTAACGTAAGTTAGAATATAGAACACCAAATCTAGTCTTTGTTAAACTTATAAGCAAGTGTTCACAGCAATTATTCATTGTTAATCAAACGGTACAAATTAACTTCACGTAAACTAAAGCTAAGACGTTACTAAATTAATAATTATATGTCCAGATTAATATATGATTACATGTACTATGATATTTAATTTTACTTTTAAAGTTAAATTAAACTAAAACATTTTCGATTTGGTAAAGACTAAAGTATAGAATTTCTGGTAATTGGTAAGACTTGTTGTGAAAGAAGGTTTAAAAAATGTTCTTATGTATATGTACTGTAGTATTTTGAATGATCTAATCGATATAAATTAATTATAATTTGTTTCATTAAAAATAAAATACAGCCTAAACTATTACAACTTTATTAACTCTGCCACTAATTTCAGAACCTGGCTTAAATAAGAAAAATAAAAAAAGAACAATAGACAATAGGATTAGGACAGAAAAATGTCCATATAATTCAATCATCAACCTCCAAAGAAAAAAAAAGCTAATAAATGTTTTCTTTTATGAAACGAGTTTCATACTCTGTTTTTTGCTAAAATTTAAAAAAATATTCTTGTTATATAAAACAAAGGGTCTTAGATGTATTTAAGTTCAAGCGTTTGGCTGAATATTTAGTGTTCTAACATTTACATTTAATGAGTTATTGAATAAGTGCTTTACTTAACTCACCATGGGGAGTAAAGATGTAAGAGAATGTTTGAATTTTGAAAACTTCTGTTACCAGTTTTTCTGAATCTTTTGTAAAACTAAGAGTATGGTGGACATACCGATGATATCAGGTGTAGAGCTGGATGATTAATTCAATTAATCAATTACATTGATTAGTGTCAAGTAAAATAATTGGTTAACCAAAATCATGATTAAATTAATTTATGAAAAAAACTGAACTAATCAAAATTAGTGTTTTCTATTATTCCAAATACTTAAGAAATTAAAACACTAGAGGGAAATTTGCTTTGCACACAAAACATTTTTTTGGTTATGGTAATTTGGATTTGAATGTACAAAGTTTATAAAATGTAAAAGCTGTAGTACTATATATTTAAAGTAATTAAAATGGCTAAGTGGTCTGCTTAGACTATGTACCTATGAGTTTAGGTAAAAAAAAATTTCTATGATTTGAGAGAAGGATTCAAAGTATTAAGAAAGTGTGCTGCTAGATTGTTCAGTATACTGATTGTGCATTTCAAACTTGAAATTTGATACTCATTATCCAAATTGGCTTTTTTTTGCTGTAATTCACACTTAGCCAACATTTGAAGTAGTAGTTGGCATTTCACAAATTAACTATCATATGTGAAAGAAAAGAAGCAGATAAATATTTTAATAAGTGAAGTTTCATCTACATTAATATGTTATATTTATGATATTATTAAATCAGTCTTTAGGTCAAACCCAGTTTGATTAATTTTATATCGTATTAAATATCGGTCATTTTAAAATTAAGGAGTTTGGTCTCTAGAAATATAGAACTGGATGTATTGAAGAGTTGTTGCTTTTTAATGCGTAAGAGTTCTGTAGTTTTGAGACTTAGTTAGTGATCTGTTTTGTATGCTGTGGAATTGTACACATTCTCCAGATAACTCAGTCTTTGACCTTTTACAGGAACACCAGTTTTGCTATTGTTTATTTTCTGTGCCGTGGGGCAGGCCCTCACTCCAACGACTTACCTAACCACAGCAGACAAAGACCGTCTCCGGGATGTCATTATTAGAGCACAACCATTTGCAGACTTAGCAACCATTCACTATGCTGTCCTTGGTTCTTCTATTTTGGGTGTTAAAATCCCAAATGCCCAAGTAAGGAGCCTTTTGATTTTAACTTGTGCATAATTATGCCCTGAAATATGAATCTTTAAATTCTTTTCGGTTAGTTCTTCCTCCAAAATACAAGTGTAGCAAATGTTTTTATCTACATGCATGAAATTGTTTTCCTGCTATGAATAGACAAGTTGTGAACTTTGGAAATAATTTATTGATCTTTATAAAGCCTGGGATGTTGTTGATTATGTAGGACGTAAACTCAGAATCTACTTGGAAAAATTATATAAAGGGTATTAGTTTATAAACTAATGGAAGAACATTTGATCATTTGCCAGTTTGTGACTTTTTTAATACAGCAGTATAAAATCCCCTAAATCTTCTTAAACGTTTGATTGAAAATATTAATTTAGGAAATGCTATTTTAGTAGATTTAAATAAGTTATTTAAATAACTAAGGTGTAATAAGAAAAATATTTTAAGTTTTAAAAACAAGAAATAAATATTGTCGATAAATGGTGAGCTGTTACTCAATAATGAGATTGTGATTATCGTGACTTTTCAGGATGTATGTAAACAGATAAAAAATAAAGCAGATCCTAAAAGTTTGGAGTCGCTGTATTATGCTGCAACCACAAGTAAAACATTAGGAAACTGCCAGGTAGGTTATAAATTTACATACAAGCCACTTTAGTAAAAGAAACGGGTCCTGATTTTTTTATATGAAAGTAAGTTTAAATACAAGATATACTAGAAAAATGCAAGTTAAAAGTAATGAAATATTTTTACAAGTTAATTCTCTGTCATCGAGTACTTTGTATTTATTCCACTTTCTGGCACCTTTGCATTTTAAGTAATATGGTAAACTATTAATTGTGTACACATTTCCTTTGAATTAAATTTCTTTGGGGGGAGAATGGGTGATAAGATGTTAATTAATTTTAATTGTATTAATTTATTGAATCATATCTTTGTAAATTTGTAATGAGGTTATAACTATGCATATATCAGACTTCAAGCTGTCTGCAGACTAATATAGCATTTTACCGTATTGATTATTCTGTCAAATTAGGAAGTTAGTTTAGTAGCACTGTTAGAAAGTTAATTATATAATAATAATAAAATAATTTTAAAAGGGAAAAAAGGAGTTTTAATAAATAATCAATTTCTCTAGCAATTTTGTTCTGCTGTAATAATTTGGAATATTAGCTAGTACAATTAGCTTTGCATAATTTACATTAATAACTTTTAATGTAATTAGATTTTGGTGAATATTTAAGCAATGATGAAATGATTCAATTAAACTCACTGGATTACAGAGAAGAAAATACAGTAACTACTTAGACCTTTGTTACCACCATTAAAACAGTGTGATTAATAATTGGTTGAAGTTAGAGCATCTCTTGGAGGCTTCTGTTACAGCTTACCATTGGTAACTAGCTTTGCTAAAGGCAGATCCATAAGATATATTGGTAAATTTTAAGTGTTTTTTTTCCATGATCAATAATAGAATGTATATTTTTATATGCTAGTTTTCGTCATTTCAATTTTAAAATACTCGATACATAAATATATTAAATATTGACTTTGTGATAAAGGTATGTATGTTCTTTAAACACAACTATTTAATATAGAACTGTAATATACAGAAAATGGTATTTAGGCTGTTGTGTGTTTTGTTGATTTACTGAAATTTTGTAAAAGTTGTAAAAGAAACTTCTTACTAACAAGATAATGATAATCTTTGCCAACAGTTGGAAACATAATTCAGATTTATGATTTAAACAACTTTTTATTAACGTTGGTCTTCATCTTCCATACCAGCTCTCACTGAGTGGGGCTCGCCAGACCTTGGAAGGGGCAATCAAAGATGAAGCATCTGTTCAAGATCTCTTTTACGCAGTGCATGGACTCAAAAATCTTGGACATACTGGTATGTACCCAGCATAAGTCTTGAATGTTTCTTGAGTGTTACCATACCACTTGTGAACCACAAGACATCTCTCTCTCTCTTGTGGCCCGGCATGGCCAGGTGGTTACGGCACTTGACTCGCAATATGAGAGTCGCAGGTTTGAATCCCCGTCCCACCAAACATGCTCACCCTTTCAGCCATGGAGGGTGTTATAATGTGATAGTTAATCCCACTGTTCGTTGGTAAAAGAGTAGACCAAGAGTTAGCAGTAGATAGTGTTGATTAGTTGCCTTTCCTCTGGTCTATCACTTCAAAATTGTGGACAGCTAGTGCAGATGGCCTTCGTGTAGCTTTGCATGAAATTAATAACAAACAAACACACACACACTCTTTTTTCCAACACAGGAATCTCAAATTTTTATTCATAAAAAGAGTGCTACTCAGGTTGTTCTTAACTGATTATGCATATTCTAATGGTTTTGTTTACTTAAGCATTTTATTAAATATGCGTATCATCCATGCTATCACAAATATCCAACATATTTGATGTGTTAATGAAGTGGAATAAATAATTTAATCCTTGAATTTGTTTTGTATCAAAAAAGAGTAGCTGATACTATAAATGTGTACATTTTTATTACAGTAAAATTAGGTGTACCTTTCATTTGAATTCATAAACCTCGAGCCCTTGTTTCTTTCAGTTGAATCGGCCAAAGTTTCTAAGATTATGACAACTGCTTTGAAGAAGGATGACAGTGTGTTGAAGTAAGTTTGGTGTTTGTGTTTTTAGTGGATAATTTAAATCTTAGATTTACAACTGTTTGCTTGGAGAAGTTAGTTGAAACTTAATGTCTTATCCATTGTAACAATTTTATTATACGAGGCCTGTGAGAAAAGTATCCGACCTTTGTCCGGGGAATAAAAACTGGCATACCTGGAGCG